TGAAATTTGAGAGAGCTGTGTGGACCCTTCCTCTCCGTTCTCCTTTTGACCTGTTAATCACCAAGTTCTATTAACTCCTTTTCAGCTTACCAATTTCAGAAAATCTTAGTTTGTATTGTACAGAGGCAGCTGGAATAAGATTCCTGGGAATTAAAACCCATTCTAGCCTATGAATTGAAAAAGTAAAAGCAAAAAAAAAGAAAAAACAGAAACATGGACTCAATTTCCTGCCCTGCCAGAAAATACTTGATGTTTTTGGGCAGCCACTTTACCTGCCTGAGTCTCAAGTACTTCAGCTATAATTTGTGGTTATCTCCTGGACCTCCTCACAGGGTTATAGGGAAAAAAAGCATTTTATAATCTTCAGAAAATTATACAAATGTAAGACACCTTTAATTTAAGCTTCTACTTTAAAAACTTCTATGTCATGTGTAATAGAAATGCGTGTTTATTATGGATGATGTTGGATTAAAGATGTGTCATGAAGGAAGTAACTCGAGGATGTGATATTTCAATGTGAACTTACTCTCACTATGTCAAAATACGATTCACATTTCTTCTAACACTCTGTGCCCTACCTTTGGATTTATTCTTTATTTCTTGCTGGTTCCCAAACTGTTCTACTCTGTTATTTCATGCCTCTCCCACGTATAGGGGCAAAGAATTAAAGCCTCCCTCTCCAGTTTTCAGCCTTCTTCTAATGAAGATGCTGGAAGAAGGGTGACTTGGTGAACTCACCTCCCACGAACTCATTATTGCCATGAAGGCGGCAGATTGTTTCTCAATATGTGTGAAGTGCTATGGGAGAGCGAAAGCTGAGGTCCTGTCCTCTGCCATTCTCCATGTGGCCTATAAATCACCAAGTCCTATTGAATGTGTCCTAAATCTCTCTCAAATCCATTCTTCAGCGTAAGACAAAATATTCTCACTCCTAAATCCCAGATGTATCCAGTGAACTGGACTCTTCCCTTAATCATGTGCTCCCATTCCCTACCCTCCTGCGTACTGAATCTTTCCTCCATTCAACATGCTGGAGTAATCTTGCCAAAACCTAAATCTGTATACATCAGTTCCCTACTTAAATCTTGGGTGGCAGCCAATCTCCTATAGGAAAGCCCTGTACTGTCTAGACATGACAAATAAGGCTTTCTAGATCTGATGCCTGTTCACTTCTCCAGAGTCTCACTCACACTTGTACTCAGCAATACTGAACTGTTCCCAGTTCCCAAATGCACTGTATGCCCTTTTTAAAGCTCCATGCTTTTTTCGTGATTCCCTCTAACTATAATTGCCCTTCCTCCACTCATTTCTATCTGGAAAATTCTTATTCATCCTTTAAAATTCTATTCCAGAGTCACCCTTTTTTTGATGCCTCTTTCAGATCTTCCCAGAAATAAACTACAATATCTAGTAGTACAGACTTTCATCATTGTACATATTTCACCAAATTATAATACTTTGTTAGAATAGTTTGTTTCCCCTTCTAGACTGTGAACTTCTTAAGGACAAAGATCATGTCTTATTCATCTTTGGATATCTAGAAACTAGCAGAGTGTCTAACAAATTACAGCTACTTTATAAATATTTCTTAAGGAAATGAATGGAGGGATTCTCATAGAAATTCTCATAGAATTTCTCTGAGCTCTAGAAAAAGAAATGTCCTATGGGGCTCATCACCTATATATCACTGTTAGTTCTTTGTGCTTTTTTGACTTTTTTGTAATCTTTTATGTAATATAAATTCTAAGGTTGTAAGCATCTCATCTACATGAAGGAGCAACAGAAACTGACCAAATTAGGCCAGTTGGTGAACCATGTACCTTGTGACACTAATATTATCACAGATGGGTTATTTTCCCCTTCATCTCCTCCATGTGACTTTGAGTAGCTGTTGTTAGACTGAAATTTATGAAACGCAGAGCTTCTTGACCATTTCAGAAGCAAAATTGCTCTCTGTAAAAAGCACTCCCTCCTTCCCCTAGTGAAAGTTTTGCTCTTCTCTCTCTCTAAAGCGGTGAGGATGTAATCAGGCATGATATATCTCAAGTCCCACTGATCAAAGTTAAATTGGAAACGAAGGAGCCCATAGTGGTGCTCCTTGCTTATTTGATTCATGAGCTTCCTTTGTCCATGGGTCCCTCTATCAGTGTAACCTATAAACTAGCATGCCCCCCTTTTTACTATTATGACTGTGATCAATGGGTAATAAATGAGTTTTCTCAATTTTATCTAACAGTGCTGCTTCCCAGGAAACTCTGGGGGTAAAATGAAAAGTATGTAATTTTTCCTTTTATATTTATAATTATATTCCATGCTTTCTATTAGTGCACACTATTGAGTTTTTCCTTCTTTTCCTCATAAGGTACACATTTTACTTAGAAGTGAAAATTAATACCTATTGTGTAACCAATGATGGTTCTTTTATGAGTTAATTAACCCAAAACACTGATGAATAGACCAAAAGGTGACATCAGTCTAGTTTGCATCTATTTCAACTTCTGTTTCACAAGACAAGATAGTGCTCTAAAATGTACGGTCCTAGATTATAACAGATATAAATTAGCCATTATCATTTCAAATAATTAATTTCTGAAACCAGTACAATTTGAGTTTCACCCTTCACTGAGTCAGTTTTTAGAAATATAACTGAAAGTTGATTTCATGGAAAGCAAACTTAGCTCTTACTTTTTTTCCTCTCATCTTTTTTTTCTGTTTCATTCATTTGTTCAATAAATAGTAACTGGACATAGCATTTGTTGATTGGATTCTGCTGGGCACTGTGAAGAATTTAAAATTTTTGAAGTTACTGCCCTCAAAAACCCTGCAGAGAGAGACACAAAAAGTTAACTAGGAAGAGACGTCACAAACAGCACCAAATGAGTAGTACAGGCAGGAAGCGCTGTGAGTTCAGAAGCCAGTCCTTACCTCCCTGACATTTTCAATCAGAGCTTTCCAGCCTGCCATCCTTTGTGATTTATTTTTAATGGTTCTTTTCATCTCATTCCAACACATAGACAGATGCAGGAACATATCACTGGTTCTATCCCCTATCTCTTTATTGCCTCCACTCTACTTCCAAGCTCTTGAAATAAAAATTGGAAGCTGCATCCAGACTATTTTGTGAATGTCAGATTATTATCTACCCACTTCCTTTAGAGTAAAGGAGATGGGGCTATGTGAATCAGGAGGGGCATGTTTTTCTCCAGATATCTATATATCAATCATATCTGCATATTTAAAATCTTATAAAAAGAAAGTATTTGACCATGTTCAACAGTGAATTGTTAGCAAATTGAGAAAGCTTTGTTAATAACTCTGCTCATTTCAATTATTATCTAGGCCTGACACTAGTTATATTATAACCCATTGTGAATGGGTACACACTCCTCTCAACTCCTCAATCCAAGGCTGTTCCATGCCCTTCTTTCCCTTCCTGGCAGTAGACAAATAATCCTTGACTCATAGAAGCAACTGGTGAGGTTGTTTTACCAGTTTGACATCACATTGGTTTTCACCAATTTTTTCTTTTGCCCTCGAGTGAGTCATTTGTACATAGCCCTATTACCTTTTGAGCAGTCTTCTGCAAGTAGTTCTGTTAAATTTACCCCCAGGTAATCAAACTCTCTTACATTCACCTTCCTTTTCACTTCTATGGCTATAATTACCTCATTATGTTTTCATTAATTTTATACAATTGTATTATCCCCCACCACTAGAGGGTAAGCACCTTGAGGGCAGGAACTGTGACTTGATCACTGTTGTGTACCCAGAGCTTAGTTTGGTTCCTGAAGTATAGGATTTGCACTCAATAAAGATTTTTAAGTGAATGCTCAACCTTGATAGAAAGGCATAGCGGGCTTTGCCTCTCTTCAAAGGAAAAGCTCCAAACCCAGCCAATCATAGAGAGTTTGGGAGAATTTCAGAGGAAGATACACCTTAACTGAGACCTGAAGGGTAATTGCAAGTTGGCTAGGCATAGGAAGAGGACAATTCAAACAAAAAAATAGCATGGACAAAGACCAATATTTGAGAAAGAGCAGGGTCCATTGAAAGGCAAAAAGATCAGCCATACCTTGTGTTACCATGCCTGAGAATCAAAACATAGTGGTAGACATTGTGTGTATATGTATATGTGTATATGAGAGAGGAAACTTTAGTTTTTAATAGTTTAATTAGATATAATAAAAAATCAACTCCATTAACTTATAAAACCCTAATATTTAGCCAAAAGCCCTCTATCGGGCTGGACAAACTTTCTCATTATTTTCTTTTCCCTCATGTCAAATTTTAATTTTTTTAATTTTTTTAATTCTCTTTTTTAACTCTTGACATTTTCATAGTGTTTTTTAAATAGTTCCACTGCAGACAACAGTATGGTTAAATAGAGATTTGAACCTAACCACCTTGCATGAAACTATTATGTATAGAAAAACTATTTCAGGTTCCAAACACTAAACTTAGAAATGAACATTTAGAAAATGACCTACTTCTAAATTGAGGTTTTGGGTGCGCAAGGGACAACTTGCAGCAGAATGTGGTGGAAGACGTACTGGCTTGGAGTCCAAACATCACACCATTCACTTTACAAAGTCCATGAGACTCTGAATCTCATCATTTGTTTGAACAAGATCCATAATATCTGCTCTATATTCTTCATAGTTATTCCCAAAATTGAAAGAGAAACTATATGTGCAATGAATCACCTAACAGATGGTAGACGGTTATATTCAGTTATGGCACAAGGTCACCTGCTATTGTAGTTATTTTTATGATAGAAAATAAAAATTTTATTCCCCCTCCAACTACAACAACATTATATATGGAAAAATATGTACAGCAATTTAAGGTAATGAAAGTAAAGCTATACTTTTTAAATACACAGTTTTAAATAGTTTGTCTCTATGTTTGTGGCATAACTACAGCAAGTATGTTTACATAGAAATGGCTGTTTGCCTCATTAACATGAGGATAATACACATTGTAACCATTTTGTCTCATAGAATGATTGAAGATAGTGGGAAAAGAGGAAATACCATGGCAGAAAGAAGACAGCTGTTTGCAGAGATGAGTAAGTATGGAACTTTCAAGGAATACGCTGCAGTTTCCCTTGAATACTCATGGAAAGGCTGGAAATAACCACTTGATCCTTATGGCACTTGTACTTTTTCTTAAAATCCTATATTGCTTACATAAAATGCACATTTGGGCATTTTTGCCTCCTATTAAGTAAGAGTTAAATTAGTCAGTGAATCATCATAATTTGTTACTAGACTGTGTATTTTATATGAAAGAAAAAGTTTCGTGGACCTAAAGGTATATATATCTATATATATATACACACAGGCAGTTGATAAACACTATTTAGTGTTGGTATTAACACAGTCCACTCAACTTTCAAGTCTGTGTTCATCTCCCTGCACTGTCACAGTGTCTGGCATATTGTAGGCACTAGATAAACTTTGTGAAATTAATCATTGATTGTCTTACCTGCAAAATGATATCATATGTTCATATGGGAAAGAGGAATCCCGCATGATTACCAGCCCAAACTGTAAGCTGTCATTTGGACTTCATGCAGGAGGGTAGAATCTGTCCTACAAACCAGTTTCTAAGAAGTGAAACGGAAAAGTTAAAAAGAGCTTGGAGGTGACCTGCTATACAAGGAAACCAAGCCAAGACTATATTTACTGACTCCAGGGGAGAACCCATCAAATAATGGCTATTGCTTTATGTAAATGCATGGTTGCTGTACAAGTAATTGGTTGGTAGTGTCTCCCTTGTAGACCATTTTTCTTATTCATAAGGAAGAAGAACTTGACATTGGAGGGAGGAAACACATCTCAAATTAAATGTTATAAAGAAAAAAGTACGAATCTCTTATTGTCTTTTTATCTCTCTTTCCCTGCATAAGGAATGAGGATGAGCAGAAGTGAGTTGTAAGCCTTTTTCCCTGAGAGGGCAGTAGACAAAATTAGGTTTCTACTGAAGATTGGAATGGATTGGCAAGAATGAGGGTTAGAGCAGATAAAGGAAAGTCCCAGATAATAAGATTCATATTTTGCTTTATCATTTCCCAATAATCTAGAGACACCAAGACAGTGTTAGAATTAACAAAGAGGAAAGAAAATCAAAATTGATGTGGGGAATCTCAATCATGCTCCTTGATTTTCCACTTTTAGAAACATGTCTAAAGTGTCTGCAAGAGTTTCGGCTGTGACCTTCCAATTTCCTAGGCCATGTTTGAGACTGTATCTTCACTTCTGGCATGGTGGCTCACCTGGAGTTGTGACTTTTGTTGATAAAAATCTAATACCAAGGAACCTAGTTACTGCCCACCTATCTAAACAAAATCTAAAGCAGCATAGTATCCTCCCATACCGTAGATTCTTAGACTGGAATGGGAAGAGCCATGTACATCATGGGCCAATGTCTTGTCAGAAAAAGAAAAAAATATTAATATTTAACCTAAAAAAGCAATAAAGTCTTGGGGGAAATCTTTGAATTTATCATTGTTACGTTAAAGACTGTATCAGCCAACGCACTATAAGAATTATAAAAGTGTACTTATTTAATGATTTTTTAAATACTTATCTGAGTTCAAGTACATTAACCCAGTTCCTTCTGCAGCTGATGCAGTGCCTGGCACAGACAAATACATATGTCACAAATGTCTTCTGAATTAAAGTTGTCCAACTCAAATAAAGATTGACATAAGTTTTATAGCCATAGAAACAGAACAGCTCTAAATTTTTCAAGTGAGAAAGACTTAGGAAAATTGTGCATTCGTTTCCCAAATTGTAACTTTATCTTGTCATAAAAACTTCTCAAGGATGTCATGTGCTTTCTTAAGTCATTTTATGAGTTCTCCTGATAAGTGATCAGAATAGTTAAGCAAGCCACACAAATATGTATCTTTCTTCCTTGGGTATGCTAAATAATAGACTCAGATGTTGGCCAAAAACAGATAAACACATCTGACCTTAACAACCCGTTAGTGAGCATCATGTTTAGATCAACACTAAGTAGGACTTGTCCACAGTAAGTGGGATTCCACCAGATAAAACAATTGGCTGGTTTCAAAGGGAGGGACTGATGTAGATAGGTAGACTGTCACACAAAAGAGAGAGGCAATCTCATTGAGAATGTGTTAAATAGTTGAAAAATATGTGGGTTACCCCAGCTCTATTAGCAGAACACCAAAGACAGACAAGGAAACTATTATCAGAGAAGACTGACATGGAGACTTGGAAAGTAAATTTTTCCAGGAATCTGTGATGTCTAGATGGGGAAGTAAAAAAGGAGGAGGAACATGTAAATCTGGTCAGCTTAGTATTGTCTAGAAATAATATTGGGGTTTTTTATTTATTTATTTATTTATTTATTTATTTATTTATTTATTTATTTATTTATTATTTTTGTGTGTGTGTGAAGATTAGCCCTGAGCTATCTGTTGCAAATCCTCCTCTTTTTGCTGAGGAAGATTGGCCCTGGGCTAACATCCATGCCCATCTTCCTCTGTTTTATACGTGGGACGCCTGCCACAGCATGGCTTGATAAGTGGTGCGTAGGTCCGTGCCCAGGATCCAAACCCGCGTACGAACCCTGGGCCACCTAAGAGGTCAGAGTGCACAAACCACTGCTATGCCGCTGGGCCAGCCCCTATTTTTAAACAGCAAAAAAAAGTGCCAAAGACATACTTTGTTTTGGAAATTGCAAATGTCAAAGAAAAATTGCATGTGAACGAGTTAAGAAGGCAGGGAAGACTTTATTCGAGATTATCACAAGGTAGTCCAGACTATTGCAAGAAGGGAGAGAGATTGAACTCAGCTCTGCTGAAACAAAAGGCAGGAGGGTGTTTAAGCACTGAAGTAAACTAGTGCAAAAGTAGTGAAGGACATTAGTTGGGAAGTTGGTCAATATTGTTTGCAAATTGTCACAATTAGGAGGTGAGGCTCCTACCGTCCCATAGAGACTGGGAGATCTCCTTCAATGATTACATTTCAAAGGGATGGCTCCCAGGTCCTTGAGAAAGACATTCCTAGGTTGTAAACCTGGCAAGAGGCTGGAAGAAGATTTACATTTCAAAGGGGCGGACAAAGAATTTACAATGGAACGATTTCTAAAGTAAATGCTCTAAGAAAAGGGAGGTCAGAGACCTAGGGTTAGGAAGAAGCCTGTCTAAAGTTTAGTTAAACTGAGGGGAACATTAAGGCATCTTGGTCTTCCAAAGACCAAAGAACAGAGAACACAGAGAATAACAATTGATGAGAAGAACAATTGATAAGAAATTTTGGCAAATTCAGGTGATTGCAGCACATACGTGTTAAACATCTACTCTGAGCTCATAACCACAAGCAGCAGAAGCAGAAAGAAACAGCAAAGAAATGAAATTAAGAGTAGCATGGACTCACAAATAAGAAAAAGTAGACTTATATATATATAAAAAAATTAGGTGGCCGCTTACTCTGATTAAAGAAATTCTGGGCAATTGCCCTTAACCAAAAATTCTCCTCAGTTCAGTGCTCTGATTATCGGTTTATTTAGTACCTTGGATTAAAGCTGAAAAGACTCTAGTTAAATGTAAATGTCATCCTCACCTTTACCTTTTTGTTACTGCCCAACATGGAGCCTTCTGCTTGCTGCAAGACATGCCAATAGTCAAGAGGCAAGGTGGTAGGAGAAAAAGGACTTTTTTATTACAGCTTGCTAGCAAGAGGGAAGATGGCTAACTCATGTCCCAAAGAACCATCTTAAGGGGACACAAAATCTTACAGCAGTTATATAGGCCAGTGGGTTATTGGGGAGGGGGTTAGGAATGTTGACCTTCTGGTGTTACAGACTGGGAGTGCCACACGAGATCTTTCAGTTTTCACTGATGATGGCTATCAGCATAGCTTCTCTGTTCGGAGTCATCACATTCCTAAGGAACTCAAAAAAACAAAGTTATCATCTTATCGCAGCTGGGAGGTACATGCACAAGCAGGGGTTGTAAAATCGACAGAGCAGTTAGATCTCCTGGAGGGTGCGTATCCAGCTGGGTTAGTTTGTCAGAGGTCATTCAAAGTTACAATAGAGTTTTTCTTTTCTACAATATGGCTTCCCTTATGTAAACCTTGTCTTGAGCTGGTATCATTTTCAGCCATCAAATAAGTTTATCAGCTCAAATAAGTTTATCAGACTGGCCTTTAGCAGACTAAATTGTTTGTTCGTGGAATTAAACTCTCCTTCTCCTCTCTTTTTCTGCTCCCAGAGCACGTTTACTCTGACTTGTATGACACTTACTTGTGAACATGTCCAAGTCACTCACTATCGTGAACTCCTCCCTAGGGACAGACCCTGGACCTTCACCTTCAAATCCGCTCATGTTAGATACTGAATCAATGTTGGTTTATAAGCCTATGGGGCACAAGATAGGTAGGTATTAATGGGAGGAAAGGGCTTGAAAAACACTCTTTCAGAAGATGGAAGGCTGCCTAACAAGATGAGGAAGGTCCTGGGGAGAAAGCGGAGTGATACCACTGGCCTCCAAGTGGAGGAGGGACCTGAAAAAGGGAGGCAAATTTAGGTACTCAGTACGCACTGTTGAATTGTTTGAAGGCGGACAGTCCTCCTTCAGAATGTTGGCTATAGTCAGCATTTACATAGCTGGAATGGAACCTAGAGCGTGATTTCGCAAGGTACACTATGAATTTTAGGAAGACTGATTTTAGGTGTAACATGAATGATTCTGTTACCATAGGCCATGGTGGATACAGTGACTGTTCTCACTTGCTTCTTCATTTCTCATGCTCCTCAGCCTCTTTAAGATGTTAACACCATGGATCACCATCCTGGAAATTCTCTCCTATGTCACCACCCTAGTTTGCTCTCCTGCATTTTCTAACCACCCTACTTCTATTTTTCTGGTACCCTCCAGACGCCCTGAAGTCAGATTTGACCAAAGTTTTGTTCTTGACCACTTCTTTGCATATACAATTTGACTTTCTCTCAAGGCCTCACTGTTATTCTATGGCTCTCAAGTGTTCATGGAGTCCCCCAATACCAGCTCCCATATTCTCATTAACCCAC